CAAAGTGTTAGTAAAAATATTACCAAGAGTTTGGCGCAAAAAGAATGAAAAAAATGGTCAAGAAATGAGCCATTTCAAGCTCAAAAAGCTTCAAAAACGTGCAGCAATCGCTGTGCAGTTTCCTTGTTGTTTCATTTGTTATCACATGGGTCACGGACCAGGTCGCCCCGACCTAGGATCCACGCCCGTTTAGCCTTTTAAAAATGGAATATGAGCGCATGGTGAGGGAAAGACTCGAACCCACGACCTCAACCAAGGAGCCTCGAAGCGTTAACCGGCAAGCTAATTATATGTTCTATTTTTATTATTCACTGTTATTGTTAATATACATTACATATTTAAGTTTCAAAAATTAGCATTTAGTCCCTTGAATTTTCAGAAATAATTTTCTGCATAATAATAATTTTATGAGACTTTTATTAAGTTTATTTAAAATGCAAACTTTGACCCCATTTCGATTATTTATCCCGTTTAGTTGCCAAAATGACCCTACAATGTGAAAATCGGTATTTTAGCGATACTTTATGTATTTGCTTCATAAATTACCGAAATGACCCTATGTCTTGGGGATTGGTTTATGAACTTCATTTTTATATTATTATTTTTATAAAATTACCAAAACGACCATATATTTGAAAATCGGTATTTTAGCAGTACTTTACGTATTTGCTTTATAAAATTACCGAAATGACCCAATGTCTTGGGAATTGATATCTAAGTGTTATTTTAAATCTAATCCCTATGAAATTACCAAAATGACCCTACAATGTGGAAATCRGTATTTTAGCGATACTTTACGTATTTGCTTTATAAAATTACCGAAATGACCCTATATCTTGGGAATTGGTATCTATGCTTTATTTTGATTGTTATCCTTATGAATTTACCAAAATGCCCCTATGCTTTGGGATTTGACTTTTAAGCACAGTTTTAATATTCGACTTATAAAATATACCAAGAATGTTCTAAATTAGGGAATTGGTTAAAGCTATACCTTTGGTATTCGGCTTCTTAAAATTACCGAAATGCCCCTAGACTTGAAAAAATTGGTATTCTAAACATTATTTCGAATATTAATTATGTTGAACTTTAAAGTTATGGCACGACAGTTATTTATATATGTGTGACATGTTGTCATCTTTATTTACTTGCAAATCTTAAACGAGACGTTTTCGTCACAAGACATTATTTACCTTGCAAGCTATTATTTTAATTATTTTGGTAAAATATTTATTATTCAAGATAATGTGAAGTTTTTATAAAATGTACGAGCAACAATTAATATTTTAACGACGTCACATTATTAATAATATTTCAAGAAAATATTGGAGTGAAACATGAGATATGATGTTATCGGGGGTTGATCAATAAAATGAAAAGTCGTGTTAAGATTGTTAAGGAATAGTAATAAATTTAATTACGATTATTTAAGATGCTTAGGAATGGTATAAATTATCATGTAGGTTTGCCGTTTTTGAAAAAAACGACCTATCGAACGTTAACGATTCAAGGTGAGTACATTATGCKATTTTTATGGGATATATACGTGACTATTACAAAAGTATTTTATCCATGATCTTTGCATGATGTGTGTTATATGCATATGATGATAACTTGCTTATATTGATRTGCATGATATTTAAGTATATGCATGATATGAAAGGTGATGTTGATGAGAAAGGTTTATGATGACTTGATATTATCAATATGATATTCAAGTATGTGTATAATGTGGAAAATGACGATGATGCATATGTGATTTATGTTGTCACTTGCATAAGATGTATGTTGCATGTCACGATAAGATTTGCATTAATGAGTGAGCATTGCAAATAAATGATATGCAACTAGTATGATTCGGCAAGATTCGTCCACCGTACGGGGTGGGTTGGACATGAAAGGAGGGCTTGCAATTCTGAGGTCTTAGAGTCCTCGTCCATAGAATATGCCACATACGCAAAGAAAAGTGACGAGCCGAGGCCTCACTTGCAAGATAATAACTAAAATACACTAAAACATTGTTTATATGTGCATGTCACGATGCGATAGTATTGCAAATAAATGATATGCAACTAGTATGATTCGGCAAGATTCGTCCACTGTACGGGGTGGGTTGGACATGAAAGGAGGGCTTGCAATTCCAAGGTCTTGAAGTCCTCGTCCATAGAATACGCCACATACGCAAAGAAAAGTGACGAGCCGAGGCCTCACTTGCAAGATAATAACTAAAATACACTAAAACACTATTTATATGTGCATGTGATCATGAAACCATATTGTATTCACTAAGMTTTTAGCTTATACTATACATGTATATATCTCAGGTGTCATAAGTTATTTGAAATTTTAAGTTCATATTTTTGTTCATGACATAAGTTATTAARAATGACGTCACGACACTCGAACGAAAGGAAAAAAAATCGGGGCGTGACATATGGTCCATAAGCTTGTGTAGAGTACAAAAATTCAACCGGCCCCCCTCTTGATCCAGCGACGACRAGAGTACTAGTCTACGAGAAGTCGAGAACACAGACGACAGCGAAAGCGGACATCGACGATGACAAAAACGCAGACGACAGGCAGGCGGCAGCGACAATAGGCAGGCGGCAGCTGCAACATCGCGGCAGCGACGAGTGCGACGGTAAGTCCTTGTTTTCTCTCGGCCTTTGCCCTTTAGGTGCTGTTTATTTGGTTGTTTCTGCAGTTTGCGTTTTCTTTTTCCTAGTTCTCTGTTCTGTTCCGTAACCTAACCTGCTCATCTGCATCTGCTGCTACATTTTTTGTTTTGAAATCAAAACCCAAAGAAACCCAATTTGTTGGCTTGTTGCTATCTTTGAAAACTGAAAGCAAAACCCAATTTGTTCTTGAAATGTATTTAAAATTCCATATTTGATATTGATTGCAAGAAT